TGGTGAATGCTGTTCATGCAGCATGTCTTGAGATTTTGCTGCAGGGTGGGGGTTTGGAGGGGCAAGTGACATGATGGAATTACCAGGGGTCCACTCTCATTTTCATGTCTGGAATTTTCAGCATCATTTTTCTGTCCGACTCATGGTGTAATAGGAACCTGTGTGTCAATGAAGTGAGATCATAACAGGTTACATCATTTACAGGAAATATTTATTGCTGCACATGATTTTAACAAATGGCAGAGGAAAGAAAAGATTCCTAAACTTCTTTCATATAACTTGAACTATACCCCTTCAAAAATCCAAATTGTCTCATTCACAATTAAAACAGAGATAGATGGTTTGACAGATTATGGGTGGAAGAAGAATATAGATGGGGTAAATAAAATTCTGAAGATCACAAGTCCTGATTTTGAGGATAGTATTAATTATCAGATACCATTCCACTTGAATTTTAGCAGTGATGACATAGTGCTGTCTGTAAACAGAGGGACATTCTTCATTTCAATAATTGATCGAGTGCACTGAGGTCTTCTCATGTTAGAGTTCCTCGTTTTTTTCTGTCTTCTTGCATGACACCTTTGCAAAACTAAGAACCATCTACATAAGGTGTATAATCTGTTCCTGACATCTACATAACTTTATTTCATTTTTTAATGTTGGAAACTAGCTCACTAAGATTTAAATTGTGTGAAGATTAATGGTTCAAGTTCTCCATTTTAATCTGATCGGGCAGAGAGCATTCCACATGTCTTCAGTTTGCATTGCTGCTGTCGGATTCTCACTGTAGTTTAGGCTATTTCCAAACCAGGCCCCGACACCACCAAGTTTTAATTTCTTCACAATAGATGACTTTAGTGAAAGGCTTTCTGGGTCATCATACCAGACCTCGTGGTAAACATCTTTATCCTGCCAGAAGAACCAACAAGAGTTAAGTATAATTCTTACAGCTAAAGGGATCAAAAGGTATGGGGAGAAAGTGGGAACAAGGAACTGAGTTGGACAGTCAGCCATGTTCATATTTATGGCAGAATAGGTTCAAAGGGCTGAGTGGCCTACTCCTGCTCCTATTTTCTATGTTTCTACTTTACTTAGGCCAATGCACAGTTCCAGACACAATGCTGAATATCTGCTGTTTCAGTATTTAACATACATTGAACTTTTAATTGTATTAGAATGACAAGTTCAGGTGATCTGAGAAACACAGATATAAAAAACCTAGATTGTTCAATACCGAATCAGAAAAATCTGCAGAAACTCAGAAAGTCTGGCAGCATGTATAGAAAGAAAGAGTTATGAGTCCAGTGACTTTTCTTCAGAACTTGTTAGTAGGTGGTATGTATATTATGCTAAAGACAGAGGGTGGGGAGGGGGGGCACGGAGAAGGAGTGAGTGTACAGACGGAGATGGATACCCACATAGAGAGAAAACACAGATAGGCACACATAGAACATAGAACACACGGATGATAGTAAGCCAGAGAGAAAGAAAAACATGGAAGAAGATATTCAAGCTTTAAAATTATTGAACTCAGAAAGTATTCACCTGTAGATTGGACAAAATGTTTAACAAAATGCACTGGTTTTGTTTCTTTTCTATTAACTCCCAATGTCTTGTCAGTTGTCCAATTTCTCATATTTTTGACTGCACAAATTGGATATTCTGAACTCGGTGCACAGCAAGTACTGAATCGTGAAACACTCGCTCAACAAGGAATGGTGTAGTGCCAAGTCTCCACTGTGTTTTGTCTGATAGTCTTACCTTGTAAACGAAATACGGGGATTTGTAGTTATCATCCCAATATCTGCCAGTGATTGATCTGGGCAACATCTGCATGATCTCTTTGTATTCAACCTGGTTTACAATTCGAGAACTGCATGAAGCAACTTCTAAAGGAAATGTTTTCAATTTGCATCTTCCAGGCTGTAAATTACAAAAGGGGTGAAATAATAGCATTTGTGCTTACAATTGTTTTGCTAACATCAAAACCGTAAAAATTAACTGCTTCATCTCCATGTTTATAGGCTTTGAGAGACAGTTAGCAACAAAAGCTCAATTAAAATTTTCAAAGCTTAGTATGTATATTAAGAGTTATGGAGCTCAGGGAAGATATTGTTGTCTTCGCAGCTGATGGTAATCCTGGACAAGTCCACTCCCAGAGTGAAAGCTGTTTGCTTGGTATAAGTATTATTTCCTTTTTGTTTACTGTGGAGGTCAGTCACCGAAAACAGTCACAAACCAATGTACTTTTAGCAACGTTTATGACCTTATCTGATTGTACCGACAGATAGGTCAGGTCCCAGAACGAAATATGGCATGACAGATCATATGTTTAATTATTTGGTTTGTTATAGTTAACCTTGAGGTATAAGGGACTACAATTTGTGTTCCTTTTTGGACTATAAACCAGAATGGAGGTTCACTACTTGTACTTAGCTGAAATGCCAGAAGAATTTTGCAATTTGGAAAAATCAAGCATGTCCAGCAAGTGAAGCAACATTGCTATTCGAGCAGTGAATGAACGAGTCAGAGCAACACCAGGAGTTTTTGAGTTAAGCATAGATTGCCTGATGACAGTCCTTGGATTAGTCCAGCTCCAGTTTTCTACAGATCTGTACATGCAGAGCAGCCAGAGTTCTCTAGATTCCCCAAATAAATGTACTGTGTGTAGCCTATTTAGATTGATACATGGTCATGAGACAGGCAGTCTATTTAAACTGATTAAGGAAACAATTTGAAGGCAAAAAGACAAATTTTCAAAGTTGGTTTATATGTCCATGCTTCCAGAGCGACACAAAGGTGCATGTGAAGTACCAAAGGTGCATTTCAAAATTTCACTGGCAAAAGTCAAATATTGGGCAGCCAAACATATTCTAGGCAGAACATACCAAACAGGAGACAAAGTTTTCATGTTGTTACCATTACAAGGTATACCTCTGAAAGCGAGGTAGTTAAGAAAGATAGTGAAGTGAAGTGCAGCAAGAAGAATTGCTTATGTACGTAAGTATGTTAAAATGATATCATCATTGAGAGGAAGATGAGAAAGAGCAAGTGTGTTGGGTGGAAAGAATAGTGGAAGATGACAGGGACAGCAAAAGTATGGCAGAGGAGAGGTTGGCAGTTCACAAAGTGAACCTTCTGCAATCCAGCTAGTTTACACGGAAATAGCATGACAGCTTGCCAATGTATTCTCATATTTAAAGCATGAACAACAGGAAGATCTTTTAGATTATGGGGAGGCAACAGCCTAGTGTCTTGTTGGTGGGCTGTGAACCCAGAGACCCAGGTAATGTTCTGGGGACCTAGGTTCAAATCCCATCACGACAAATGGTAGAATTTGAATTTAATAAGCATCTTGAATTAAGAATCTAATGGTGTCCATGAAACCATTGTTGGTGGCGTAAAAATTCATCTAGTTCACAAATGTCCTTTAGGGAGGGGAATTGCCTTCCTTATTTGGTCCACCCTACATTTTACTCCAGACCCACAGCAATGTGGTTGACCTTTAACTTTACGCTGAGCGATTATGGGCAATAAATGCTGGCCTAGCCAGCGACACCCACATCCCATGAATGATTTTTAAAAGAAATATTACAAAGAAAATTCAAGAAAATTTGTAGAGCTGTACTGAAGTGTACAATGTTATCCAGACATGATCTGGATGTAGGGCAATCCAAACCGTCGTAACAAACTCCTTGTTGGTTAAGCCCAGAAAAAAAAACAAGCTCAGGTAGAAATGGAGATTTAATATATGCTGAAAATCACTTGATAGAACCTAGCCAAAGCAGCTATAGCTCACCTGTGGTCTTTGTTCCTAAACTAGATGGCTCAACAAGATTCTGCATAGATTACAGGTAAGTAATGCAGCAACAAAAACAGATATATATCTAATACCTCAGTTGGGACATTGTATTGATTGGATGGGCAGTGCCTCATTCCTTTCTAAGATTGATCTATTGAACAGGTGCTGGTAAATAATATTCACATCAAAACCAAAAGAGAGCCAAGAGACAAAGAGACAGCCTTTGTTACACCAAATGCATTAAAACAATGGGGAGTCATGCCATTCAGGTTATGAATCATGAAAGCTACATTCCACAGACTCCTGAACCAAGTCATAGCTAAAGTGCCAAACTGTGTAGTTTATTTAGACGGTGTTGGAAGAAAAAGTAACAATATCAAGTAATTAGAACTTTAGTAATTACAGTTGGCTGGTTCAGCAATAAATCTCTGTAAGAAAAGAAGTAACTTCCCCAGAACACATTGTATGACAGGGATAACAAGGTGTGGAGCTGGATGAACATAGCAGGCCAGGCAGCATCAGAGGAGCAGGAAAGCTGACGTTTCGGGTCTGGACCCTTCTTCAGAAATGGGGGAGAGGAAGGGGGCTCTGAAGTAAATAGAGAGAGGGGGAGGCAATGATAGAAGGTGGATAGTGGAGCAGATAGGTGGAGAGAAGACGGACAGGTCAAAGAGGTGGGGATGAAGCCAGTACAGGTGAGTGTAGGTAGGGAGCTGGGACGGGGTTGGTCAGTGAGGAGGGAGGGGCGGGTAGGTGGGAGGGAAAATGGACAGGTCAAGGAGGCGGGGATGAGGCTAGAAAGTAGGAAGTGGGCGTTGGTCAGTGAGGTGGGAGGAGCAGATAGGTAGGAGAAAAGACGGACAGGTCAAGAAGGCGGGGACGAGAGGGGAGGCTGGTCTTGGGAATGAGGTCGGGGGTGGGGAGATTTTGAAGCTTGTCCACATTTAGACCATAGGGCTGCAGGGTTCCCAGGCAGAATATGAGGTGCTGTTCCTCCAGCCTTCGGGTGGCATCGTTGTGGCACTGGAGGAGGCCCAGGATGGACATGTCATCCAAGGAGTGGGAGGGGGAGCTGCAGTGGTTTGCGACTGGGCGGTGTTGTCGTTTGTCACGAACCGAGCGTAGGTGCTCCACAAAGTGGTCTCCAAGCCTCCGCTTGGTTTCCTCGATGTAGAGGAGGCCACATTGGGAACAGCGGGTACAATATACCACATTAGCAGATGTGCAGGTGAACATCTGTTTAATGTGGAAGGTTTTCTTGGGGCCTGGGATGGGGTGAGGGTGTAGGTGTAGCGGCAGGTGTAGCAAGGAAAAGTGTCGGGGGTGGTGGGGCTAGTGGGGAGTGTGGAGCGGACAAGGGGAGTCCCGGAGAGAATGGTCCCTCCGGAAGGCAGATAAGGGTGGGGAGGGAAATATATCCTTGGTAGTGGGGTCAGATTGCAGGTGATGGAAGTGGCGGAGAATGATGCGTTGAATCCGGAGGTTGATGGGGTGATACGTGAGGACAAGGGGAATTCTGTCTTTGTTGTTATTGTGGGGAGGAGGTGTGAGGCCTGAGTTGCGGGAAATGCGAGGGATGCGGTCAAGAGCGTTTTCAACCACTGTGGAGGGGAAATTGCTGTCCTTGGAAAACGAGGACATCTGGGATTTCCGGGAGTGGAACGCGTCATCTTAGGAGCAGATGCGGCGGAAGCAAAGGAATTGGGAATAGGGGATGGCATTCTTGCAGGAAGGTGAGTGGGAGGAGGTGTATTCTAGGTAGCTGTGGGAGTCGGTGGGCTTGAAATAGATATCAGTTTCCAGGTGGTTACCAGAGATGGAGACAGAGAGGTCCAGGAAGGAGAGAGAGGTATCAGAGATGGTCCAGGTGAACTTAAGGTTGGGGTAGAAGGTATTAGTAAAGTGGATCAACTGTTTGAGCTCCTTGTGGGAGCACGACGCGGCGCCGATACAGTCATCGATGTAATGGAGGAAGAGGTGGGAGATAGTCTAGTGTAGCTGCGGAAGAGGGATTGTTCCACGTAACCTACAAAGAGGCAGGCATAGCTTGGGCCCATGCGGGTACCCATGGCCACCCCCTTTGTCTGTAGGAAGTGGGAAGAGTTGAAGGAGAAGTTGTTAAGGGTAAGAACGAGTTCGGCTAAGCGGATGAGGGTGTCAGTGGAGGGGGACTGGTTGGGCCTGCGGAACAGGAAGAAGCGGAGGGCTTTTAGGCCATCTGCATGGGGAATGCAGGTGCATAGGGACTGGACGTCCATGGTGAAGATGAGGTGTTGAGGGCCAGGAAATCAGAAGTTTTGGAGGAGGTGGAGGGTGTGGGTGGTGTCACGGACGTAGGTGGGGAGTTCCTGGACCAGAGGGGAAAAAATGGAGTCGAGATAAGTGGAGATAAGTTTGGTGGGGCAGGAGCAGGCGGAGACAATGGGTTGACCAGGGCAGTCGGGTTTATGTATTTTGGGAAGGAAATAGAAACGGGCGGTGCGGGGTTGGGGAACGATGAGGTTGGAGGCTGTGGGTGGGAGGTCACCTGAGGTGATGAGGTTATGGATAGTTTGGGAGATGATGGTTTGGTGGTCGGGGCTGGGGTCATGATCAAGGCGGCGGTTGGAGGAGGTGTCATAGAGTTGGCACCCCTCTTGTCCGCGGGTTTTATGGTGAGGTTGGGATTGGAGCGGAGGGAGTGGAGGGCTGCACGTTCTGTGGGGGGAGAGGTTGGAGTGGGTGAGAGGGGTGGAGAGGTTGAGGCGATTGATGTCACGACGGCAGTTGGAGATGAAGAGGTTGAGGGAGGGTCGGAGGCCTTGGGGTGGTGTCCAGGAGATGGGGGTGTGTTGGAGGCGGGAGAAGGGGTCAGTAGGGGGGTGGCGGTTAGACTCATGATTAAAGAAATAAGCACAGAGGCAGGGCAGCAGAAAAACTGGGACAGGGAAGCTGTTGAAGAACACAGCTTACTACCACCTTCACAAGGACTACTCGAGATGGGCAATAAATGCTGGCCCATCTAGCAATGCCCACAGCCTATGAATGAATACAGGGAAAGGGGCAAGCAATGCCAAAACCTCAAAAGTGAAGGCTCTCATTAGTCTTCCTGTCCAAAAATTGAACATGAGATTTCTGCAGA